ACGTTAACGTAACGAACTATATAGTAAGTAAGTAGTTACTAATAATACTACACACACACACACACACACACACACACACACACACACACACACACACACACACACAAACACATGTATTAGCCTGAGATCTTCTATTAAGTTTCATTAAAATTAGTTCAGTCAATTCTTCACACATACTTATCACATCAAAACAATAGACAGTCTGGCATCTTTGCTTTATATTCAGTGTTTATTAACCCAGTGTACACAGGCTCTGTCCAATCGATCATGACCGTAGGGGAGAAGTAATGTTGACTATAATTCTGAAATTACTCTGCTTGTCTTCATGAAATGTGTCTGTCTTTTAGTAAAAAGTACAAGTCTGTTGTACACACAGAAAAAAAATCAGATGTATTATAAAATATTTGTTGATGTCAATCTGACTGAGACTTTGGTTAAATAGACTAACACACTGCTCTAAGAAACAAACAGAACACAGAAATCAGAGTGGAAGGTGATGTTCATTTGAAGAATATCTATAATTTTTTCCATTGTACAACTTGTACATTGCATTTGCACAACTCAAACTTCCAAAATGCATGCCTGTAGTTTTTTTTTCAGTATCCCTATGTAGTGTATCTGATATTTACCACAAAACGTTGCTAAATCAGCAGTGTAAGGTCGTATGAATATTTTGATAACTGTAACATCAAATGTACAATACCATGTTTAATGGCACTCTGTAAAAGACTATGAAATGCACACTTGGTCCCCCCACCTATGCGCATAGGATTAAGGTGGTAAAAATGAACTGGTAAAACAGATTTTTTTTTTTTCCTTTAGAAAAACATAATTTATTTTACTTAAAGATAATAACAGTGGAGGCAGTTGTCTGATTTGGCACACTTACTATGGAAAAGAAAATTTTGTAGGCGTTAATTACTTTTCTTTCTTTTCCCCATTTTTTAGCCTGCTATTCAACGCTTTGTCTAATAATTCTGGTTATGGTACATTTAAACATTCAATATTTAACATCAACCTACTGACATGTATTACTGAAGCTCTTTTTCTTAGCCATCAAAAATGAAAGTTATTATGAATTTTATATTTTAAAATTATACATAACATTAATTAGATACATTAGTTAAACCTATCCATATCTTTAAACCAGTTTTCACTTTCATTTTAAGCAGTGAATGAGCACCTGTGAATATTGGTACTAATCAAATGTATTGAGACTGGTTATGAAGTAACATTTAGTATAGGCACATAGAAACTGCATACATGCTCATAGAAAATATTGATTTTAATCAAGACTTTGCCTCATTAATAAGCACTCAATTATAAGGCACATACATGAAGGTGAAAGTAAATCATTTATGATCGACTTTGCTAATTTTACCTTAGATATATGGCTCTTTATAATAAAATAATTTTAGGTTTTCAGTTGTTGTTTTAAAGCCTTTAAATTTAGAGTAAATAATTTTCTTTTACTTCATTGTCAATATTGATATTTTTTCACCTTCAGTTAAACACGTCCAAAAGACTATCGCATATGGTACTAGAGACATTTGTAGTTAAGAATACCTCTGCATGTACTTAACTGAGTAGCATGCTCTAATTTCAGGATGGGTTTTCCTGACAGTGATTGAATCTGTATGAGGAAAGTGTGAAACTAATATATTTTACTTCGGTTATTTGAAATATTCTTTCAGATTTTGCCAAAAAGCAAGTACTAGCTTAAATACTACACATTATATAAATACATCTACAATATTACTTTGAAAGCAAGTAGAATCACTGATTGAATGCCTTGTAGGTATCTTGATTAATTTATATCATTACAGACAACTCGGTAATGGAGGAAAAAATGTATTCATGCAGCACAGTAAACTGAAATTAACCTCGATAAGAAATTTCATGATGCAAACGCAGTTACAGCGTACACTGTGAAACTGGTATACCATGACATCCTTATTGTATAAATACTTATCATATATTTTGAAAATTCGAAAATGTAGTGAAAAACAAAAAGCTAACTACAATTAATTTCATTTTAAAATAAATTACATGAACCTTTGAATATTTTTGAACTTAAATGCAGCTGATGTTTTTTAATTGTATATGGTACT